TACATACATACATACATACATACATACATACATACATACATACATACATACATACATACATACATACATACATACATACATACATACATACATACATACATACATACATACATACATACATACCCAGTGTGACGTTACGTCCTACTCCCTTTTGTTATTACAAAACTTTAGTGTCGTGGGTTCCCTGGATTTGGGTTTAATTTAATTTCATATGTTGAGTAGGGAATTTTGCTCTCAACACATCCCCTCCACCAGGTTAACTGAACTAATATCCGGGCTATGTTGCTCTCAGACAAAGTCCTTGATATCCAAGAACACAGCCATATTGGCTCGTTATTTATTTTAACACTAACTGCACTTGGTATCCACAAGAGAAGGAAAAGGGTTTTAGATGTCTATATATTTATATTGAATGACTTACTAGACAGTTCAGTTGACCCTTTCCGTCGACCTTACCTTGGTAAAGACTTAATATTGTTGAATTCAATGAGCCCCACCAAATGCTACTCTATCCTAACAGTTTAATTAAACATGTAAGAACAGACACACTTGGAATTACAAAAACTGATGCAAGATGAGACCATATAATTGATTTATTAACCTAGCAATCATTTTGGTTATTTATATTTTTAGTAAACAGTGATGGTATGGTGGTAATGATATGCTTCAGCTAACTGAGCACCTAAGATTAGAATGAAGTGATAATGGTGGTGTTTAGTTACATAAAAACATGTTACATAACTTAACGTTTTTTAGAAAAGTGGAGCTTCTGAGTCCTCGTGTTGAGTCCCTTCTTAGCTGTTCCAACTTTTCCGCCCAGTTCTCCTGGTCCTTCCACCTGGTTGCCTGGTTCCCACCTGGTTCCCTGGTTCCCACCTGTTTCCCAGCTGGCCGAGTTCTAACATAATGTAGTCTCGTGACCGTGATGACACTCTATTTCTGTTCTTAGAAACTACTGATCCTCACCCACATGGGAGCTGCAATAATGGAAACAAACACATATGTGTAGTATCTTGACTTACACTAAGAATACATGTGTCAATTTATACAATATATAATGATACATTATATCTCATCACTCCTCCTCATATTCCACATTCTCTCCAGTCTATTCTGAAGGTCTTTGTGTCTCACACCGACGTCTAACATATCCTGCCTTCTCTCTCATGTTCTGTCATGATAGTTGACTTTCTAAGTCTGTTGTCCGTTATCACTCAGACTTCCAACTTGCTGACATCGATTTGACATAAACATGTGGCGCAGGTTATGTGCTGAACACGCAAAACATTTTATACGTGCATGCTGTCCTGAATATTATCTTTCAGTGACAATGAATAATATACACCCATGATTCTTCCCCTGGGGTTATAAATCCCCTCTTTATGTGAACACATTAAGTGAGCACATGGTGGGCACACAAAACGTAACAGCATAGCTGCATATGTGGGCATCATTTCCCACAGTCCAAACTCATGTTTTGGTTGATGGTTGAAACATTATAATTTCATTACATTTCAGTACACAAGTCTTATTTTATAAACATGAAAACATACACTAAAAACATGTGGCACAAACATACAAGAAATAGAAATGGTTTGACAGTTCCCTAACTGAGATACTGAATACTCACAAAGAACTATTTCAAGCAGAATGCGTAGACAAATTAGGAAAAGGTAGAACAGGCTTTAGCTAACTCCCTAACCTATGTATACAATATTGAAAATAATTGTACAAGCTTACCTGGGATATTCCAGCAATCGCCAAACCAGAATCAAACAATCAGAATTACCTCTAATGTCGACCTGTTTGTTGCTCATGTCATCGATTATAACCGGAATTCCAAAGGCTAGTATATTAATACCTCTATCTGTCTGCAAGGTTAAACCCCTCCCTTTACTAGATTCTACTCAACCCTCCAGGAGATGCCCTAAGCCACGCCCCTGAGGTACCTAGCAGATCAACATTGTTATCAATGGGCCTGTCACTCAAAGTAAACGGCCTACAGTACTACCTTGACCAAGATCAGACATTCTAATTGGCAACCATCTGTTCTCCTGAGAATTTCACTGACATGTGTGAAACTCCAGCTACTAGACGCCATCATGTCTACCAGTCCACTTAATTCCCCTGATCTAGTCTGATGAAAAGGCCCCACTCAGTCTGGGTTATGTAACCTTTATGACACTAAAGTCGGGTTCAGGGGAGTTAATCTCAGGTGTGATACTAAGTTATTTCCCCCTTTACTCGCCTCTACAGTCTGTGGACAGGAGATAATTATGACACTGGCTGGTGAATCTCTAGCTAAGGTAGTATTAGGTAATATTACACAGACTAGGTTGCTTTGTCTGGCCAGAGATGGGAAAACAAAGTTTAAATAATTTTCAAATCCCTTGTAGTGGTTTTAGAACAATATTAGGCTCAGTGCATATTGCTTATACTTCTTTGTCCTTCTCTGAACATACGAAATTATTAAACACAATATAACTTCTGAGACCACTGAGGTTATTTCGTCACAGTCTGCCATCCAGACTGCGATTTTATGATCCCATGGTATCAAACATTTTAAGTATCAGCCCGGAATGGATAAACGGCCCACAGGCACGCATGACAGCTACCCATAAATAGGAAGTGTGACGTCATGCACAAAAACCTGATGCACCTTATGTTGATTATGGCAACTGTATTCGACCAGAAATGTTCAAGGATGCTTGCTGGCTGTTTCAACTTTATAGACTAGCCGCTCTTTGTGCTATATTTTAAATCACCATTAAACTGAATTCGGATTTCATCGAGGCATATAACGTTTGATCTAATTTAGACTAGAGCCTCTTGTAGCTATATGTATTCTGCCCCAGCAAAGCGAAATAAGGTCACACATGAAGTATTTGTAAAGATTTGTTTGACAATGGAGCAATGTAAAGGAAATTTATTTCGGGAGTTTTCCTTAGGCAGTCAGTCTAGTAAACAATCCTCCAGAGTTTCGAGAGGTCCAATTCCAATTCCTTTTGAGAAAAAAAAAAATGAAAAGCTCGACCACGTTCTGACTGCTGCTAGCTAGTCGAGGCTGCTAGCAGTCTCTGCCTATATTTGTGGTCTGGGTTATTTGAGTCACTTTCGTGACTGAATTTTAGTGTTTGTGCCATTTCTGGGCTTGAAGCTTCTTCGAGGGGTCAGATTTTCGTCGGACTTGTCAAATGTAAATCTGTGTCAGATTTTCCGCCAAGATGTCGGAATTTTGTCCCATAAGATGGTACACTTGTTGTTAGAGGCGTCTCCTCAAAAATAAAATCTATCAAAAGTTTATGTTATTAGCATCAGCATTCTGACTAAACGTCCGCCTTGCCTTTCCTCTGAGCCTTGAGCATCTGGCAGAACTCCTTGTCATTCCCCGCTGCATCAGACTGGGGGGGGGGGGGGGGCTAAATCAAAGAGCCTGTACTGAATACTGTTGGTTACCGCCGTGGTGGTGGGAAAAAAGAAATTGGAGGGGTGGGGTAGACGCACATAGCAACAAGACTGAGATACGAACGCATTTGCATATAGCGGCGAGCACATATCTTAAAGGTGAGTCGCCGTGGCGTAGGTGGCTAGACGCTTGCCTGCTGATTGGAAGGTCGTAGGTTCGCGTCCTGACGATGCCCAACTTTTCTTAAGGAATGACCTTCACTCCCAGGTTTAGTGGGTACCAGATGCATGCCTGGGAAGGAAAGATGGCCTGCGTGATGCTGACCATATGCTGATTGGTCTATAAGAATATAGGTTTAGCCAATTAGTAGTTATGACCCGAGCAGCATCTCCCTTATTTCCGCCCACCACCCCACCCCTTTTTTCCCCTCCCTACAAGCATAGACCCTCACGCAACACCTGACGATCAGACTTCTTCACGCTGGCGTGTGAATGAATAAGAGGCAAAGGGACACCTAAACGATTAAAGATCGAAGAAGTCACTGAAAGCTTAAAACCACACAACGCCACCGCATACCAAGCAATCGAGTGTGCTCTTGCTCAGATGTCTATTATACGTTAAACTGTGACGCTTAGTTTACACTCCCCCCCCCCCCCACCCCTTTTCCCAATTACTGTCGGTATTTAAATTTTTTCGTGTGTGGTGTGGACAGCAGGGTCTTTAAGTCTGAGGATTTATGGTTGAGTGGTCAGTGCTGTCGCCACGAACTGTGCAAAAAGATGTTGTTTTTGCCCTACCAGGTAATCCCCCCCCCCCCCTTCCACAGACTTACCAAGGATTTGAAGCTGGTTCTCCAGCATGGGAGCTCAGCGTTATTTAGAGGTTTGATGATCCGCCAAGCACATAATGTAATGTTTTACCAGGACAGTTCCAAGTGAATTATTAACAATGTCATGGTTTGCTCAGACAGTTCTATTTAAATCAGCAACAATGTAATGCTTTACCGAAATAGTCTACAAGAATTAAACAATGTAATGGTTTCTTCAGACAGTTTTATATAAATCAGCAACAATGTAATGTTTCACCAGAACAGTTCTAAACGAAGTATTACCAATCTAATGGTATATTGAGACAGTTCTATATAAATCAGTAACATTGTAATGTTTGACTAGGATGGCCTGAGACAATGTTTGATGCGTTGGCGATGTTCACAGTTGAGCTGGTAATGCAAGTCGTTGACTAAGATGGTCTAAGACAATGTTTGATGCGATGGTGTTGTTCACAGTTGAGCTGGTGATGCAAGTCGTTAACTAAGATGGTCTAAGACAATGTTTGATGCGATGGTGTTGTTCACAGTTGAGCTGGTGATGCAAGTCGTTAACTAAGATGGTCTAAGACAATGTTTGATGCGATGGTGTTGTTCACAGTTGAGCTGGTGATGCAAGTCGTTAACTAAGATGGTCTAAGACAATGTTTGATGCGATGGTGTTGTTCACAGTTGAGCTGGTGATGCAAGTCGTTAACTAAGATGGTCTAAGACAATGTTTGATGCGATGGTGTTGTTCACAGTTGAGCTGGTGATGCAAGTCGTTGACTAAGATGGTCTAAGACAATGTTTGATGCGATGGCGTTGTTCGTAGTTGAGCTGGTTGTGGAAGTCGTCGAAGAAGATAATGCTGCTCTCATCCAACACGCCGTAGAGGTCACTGGGTATAGCGTGTACCTGACCTTTCTCGACAAGCGCAATCACTCGCTTCCGGTTCATGGCGGTCACCGAATGGCTGGCGAACTGAAGAACAGAAATAAGTAAAGTAAAGGACCCTTTTCCATGACTTACAGACATATTGGGTATATAGGGCTAGACCTGTATTTTACAGACCAATCAGCACTTGTAGGTGATGTTGTCAGCATCACACCAGCCGCCTTCACTTCCTAGGACTGTACCTGGTACCCACTTACGGCTGGGTCGACCTGGGATCCAAGCTCATTTTTAAATACAGTCCGAGCCTCGTCAGGAACCGAATCAACGACCTTTTGATCCGCAGGCCAGAGTCTAGTCGCTAGACCACGGGGGTCCCGAAGATAACAAATATATATATTCAAATATAAATACATTCTAAAAGATATGAACTCACTGGACAATAAGGTAGCAAACTGTATCTTCTCCACCCGTGGATGCTTTCTCAGTGACTCAATGAGTATGCTCAGGAAGATAGAGATGAGCTGGGTCTGAAGACAGTGGTTGGAGTCTCTGAAGCCTTTGGGCTAGCAACTATCAAGTTTCAAATTAGTGGTAAGGCATGCAAGGAAATGAGCAAGCGGATAGACTTGTAGTTAAAGCTACTCTGTAGGTCGGATGAGCCATGAATCAGGCGCATATTCTCAAAGCTTTAACGAGAAGTAACACGTTTGCAAGAACCAAATGATGACTGTTAATCTGAAACCATGACCAGACTGCAAGAACAGCATGTCTAAAACGGTGTGGCCAGATAAGAGTACTGTGCAGGAAGCCAAAGAAGAATAAGAAACCTGCACAGAAGTGGTATCGTCAGCGGCTAAACGCTGCGGTATTTACTGAGGAGGTGATGTGAGCACTAATGGGACTGAGTGGTTCGACGTGCAATGAGGATAATATGTGGACTAACTAACTAACTAACTAACTAACTAACTAACTAACTAACTAACTAACTAACTAACTAACTAACTAACTAACTAACTAACTAACTAACTAACTAACTAACTAACTAACTAACTAACTAACTAACTAACTAACTAGCTAGCTAGCTACCTAACTAACTAACTAACTAACTAACTAACTAACTAACTAACTAACTAACTAACTAACTAACTAACTAACTAACTAACTAACTAACTAACTAACTAACTAACTAACTAACTAACTAGCTAGCTAGCTAGCTACCTAACTAACTAACTAACTAACTAACTAACTAACTAACTAACTAACTAACTAACTAACTAACTAACTAACTAACTAACTAACTAACTAACTAACTAGCTAACTAACTAACTAACTAGCTAACTAACTAACTAACTAACTAACTAACTAACTAACTAACTAACTAACTAACTAGCTAACTAGCTAACTAACTAACTAACTAACTAACTAACTAACTAACTAACTAACTAACTAACTAACTAACTAACTAACTAACTAACTAACTAATTAACTAACTAACTAGCTAACTAACTAACTAACTAACTAGCTAACTAGCTAACTAACAAACAAACAAAGAAACTAACTAACTAACTAACTAACTAACTATCTAACTAACTAACTAACTAACTAACTAACTAACTAACTAACTAACTAACCAACCAACCAACCAACCAACCAACCAACCAACCAACCAACCAACCAACCAACCAACCAACCAACCAACCAACCAACTAACTAACTAACTAACTAACTAACTAACTAACTAACTAACTAACTAACTAACTAACTAACTAACCAAACTAACTAACTAACCAAACTAACTAACTAACCAAACTAACTAACTAAACTAACTAGCTAAGTAAACTAACTAACTAACTAACTAACTAACTAACTAACTAACTAACTAACTAACTAACTAACTAACTAACTAAACTAACTAGCTAAGTAAACTAAACTAACTAACTAACTAACTAACTAACTAACTAACTAGCTAACTAACTAACTAACTAACTAACTAACTTACCAACTAACTAACTAACTAACTAACTAACTAAACTAACTAACTAAACTAACTATCTAGCTAACTAACTAAACTAAACTAAACTAACTATCTAGCTGGCTGGCTGACTGAGTGACTGTCTGACTAACCAACTAACTAGCCAAACACCATCTTGTCTCGAAAAGTGAAATACGCTAACCATATTACAAGTGTACTAGAAAGAACAGTAATGGGGGGCCGGGTACCGGGTGGAAGGGGCCGGGTACCGGGTGAAAGGGGCCGGGTACCGGGTGGAAGAGGCCGGGTACCGGGTGGAAGGGGCCGGGTACCGGTGGAAGGGGTCAGGTACCGGGTCGAAGGGGCCGGGTACCGGGTGGAAGGGGCCGGGTACCGGGTGGAAGGGGCCGGGTACCGGGTGGAAGGGGCCGGGTACCGGGTGGAAGGGGCCGGGTACCGGGTGGAAGGGGCCGGGTACCGGGTGGAAGGGGCAGGGGCCGAGGCTTTGTAAAACACCTGCTACATTATACATAAATACAAGCAAAGGGAACGGTAACAAGTCGGTATCCACCGAAACCGTCGATTCCAGCTGCAGGATATTTGGCAGCAGACTACTTTGCGAATTTGACAGCCGAAAGTTCAAGAAGCGCTGACGAACTACTGAACTAGAAATTAAAAAATCACAAACAGCCAACAGAAGCATAGTCTGGTTTTGTAAAGTGTAGCCAGCTAACTTCATTCAGGTGGTTTGAGGTTTAAACAGCCCCTTGTGTTGTGTGGTTTTATTAGGCAAATTTACGTCCAGTAGTTTGCAATCACTTCTGGACGGTTGGCTTTTTTGATACCACTGTCGAAACAAACGCAAGGCGCATGGCCCGCAGCTGGGATCGAACCCGGCGTCCCGGCATTACGAAGCGTTCACATCGACTTAGCCACAGATAGCACACAGGAAGTAACCCATAATTGCTCCACTGTCCTTCTTTCTCGAGTCTGAGTCCGAAAAAGCTCAGCACAGTGCACAGGCTCTGTAGCACCGGCGAGGATCCTGAAATACTTTAGGTAGATTTTTAATTCCAAATTTTGCCAAGGCAGCGCCGTTAGGCTACTCTTTTCGATTTCCAACGATTTCCAGTTTTTACCTGCGCGACAATGCACACGGGCGTCCGATCTCACTACTCAGAGACCAGAGGAAATTACTAAAGTCCAAGTCCACGTAAAAATATCCCAGTTTTTAACTATATCAATGTGTAGATATAAAAAATGATGCAGATTAAAAAAAAAACACCCATCAAACAATAACAACACATAGACAAACAATAACAACACCCAGTAAACAATAACAACACAGAGACAAACAAAAACAACATGCAGACAAACAATACCAAACCCCAGACAAATAATTATACCCAGACAGACGATACCAACAGCAATCAATTAGACAATAATACCCTCTGACAATTAACAAAAACATCCTTTGCACGCCCTAAAAATAACAAACACAGTCACGCAAACAATAACAAGACCCAAGCAAAAATAGTAGCAGAGAAACAAACATTTAAAATACCCTAGCAAGCAATAGCAGCACACAGATTAACGACAAACATACCGAGAGAAACAATAACAAAACACAGACTCACATTAACAATATACAGAGACACAAGAACAGCACACAGAAATACAATAACAACACACGGAAAGACACAGAATAACAGCACACAGAAATACAATAACAACACACGGAAAGACACAGAATAACAGCACACAGAAATACAATAACAACACACGGAAAGACACAGAATAACAGCACACAGAAATACAATAACAACACACGGAAAGACACAGAATAACAGCACACAGAAATACAATAACAACACACGGAAAGACACAGAATAACAGCACACAGACACAATACATAGACACACAATAAAACACACAGACACACAATAACAACACACACACACACAAGATAACGATAGTCAGACATACAAACACAACACTTGGACAAACCTTAACAACACAGACACACTATAACAACACACAATAACAACACACATACACAGCATAACAACAGACAGATACACAATAAGAACACATCAACACAGAATAACATACAGACACATAAAGACAGAAAACAATAACAACAAAGGGAAACAAAATAACAAACACTGACACACAATAACAACACACCGAACAATTCAAAGACACACAAAGACAACACACAGACACACAAAAACAACACAAGACACAAAAATAACAATACAAAGACACCCAATAACAACATAAAAACATACAATAACAACTAGGGCTGTACCGAATAGTGATTTTCACTATTCGGCCGAATACGAATAGCGGGACCAACTATTCGGCAAAATACAAATACGAATACGAATAGTGCATAATGTATAAAATATATCTAAAAAAAAAAAAAAACATTCCTAATGTCAAATGTTCGCTGAAATTTTACTTCTCATAAAGTAGCACAGAATAGTCATTTTCTTCTTTTGTATTCTGAGCGCTTGAGGTTTACTGCTGCAGATATCACTCGTCTCCATTTATCTCTCTGGCTGACCCTATCTTTACAATTTGTGACACCAGTTATTTGCAGGTCTGGTTGGACATTATCTCTCGAACTTATTTTTTTTTTTTCGTCTGCCTCGTGGCCCATTCCTCTCTCAGGTGTATACAGTTTTTATTTCTCTGTCATCTGACATGCTTTCAATATGCCCCAACCATTTTAGTCTGTTAGCTCTCATGATGCCAGTGATCAATGGTGATTTAAACAGATTATGTGTTACGTTGTTGTTTCTTACTCTCCATTCCCCGCTGCTAGCATCTTTGATGGGTCCAAAAATTTGTCGTAAGACTGTCTTCAAAAACCTGTACAGCTTAGTTAATGCATGAAAGCTGCATTAGCTTTCAACAAAACCAATCGTTCTATGTTGTCAGCATTAGGCTGTGTATGCAGAAGCGGATGTAAGGTAACTACTATTCGTATTCGGCCCGACCGCAACTATTCGGCCGAATACCGAATAGTCAATAGGTCCACTATTCAGCCCCGAAGCGAATACGAAGCGAATATTTGGTACAGCCCTAATAACAACACACAAACAATAACAACACAAACAAACTTTAACAACAGCCAGACAAACCATCATAACAATCTGCGACATGTCATAATCCTGAAGGAACGATCTGGACAAGACCAGGAGCACACGCCAGCTGTTGGTGATGGCCTGATCAAACTGCTTGACCTTGTAGCCCTGCCCTAGATCTCTCTGATGGACGAAAGTCACCATCTGACAGCGCTCTTCCAGGTACCTGTTGGATACAGTGGGATCATGTTCCTTGAGTACAGTGCGGTCATGCCCGTTGGGTACAGTGGGATCATGTCCGTTGAGTACAGTGCGGTCATGTCCCTTGAGTTCAGAGGGATCATGTCCATTGAGTACAGTGCAGTCATGTCTGTTGGGTACAGTGGGATCATGTCCCTTGAGTACAGTGGGATCATGTCCCTTGAGTACAATGCGGTCATGTCCGTTGAGTACAGTGGGATCATGTCCCTTGAGTACAGTGGGATCATGTCCCTTGAGTACAGTGGGATCATGTCCCTTGAGTACAGTGCGGTCATGTCAGTTGAGTACACTGGGATCATGTCCGTTGAGTTCAGTGCGATTACGTCTGTTGGGGACAGAAGGAACATGTATGTTGAGTACAGTGCGGTCATGCCCGTTGGGTACAGTGGGATCATGTCCGTTGAGTACAGTGCGGTCATGTCCCTTGAGTTCAGAGGGATCATGTCCATTGAGTACAGTGCAGTCATGTCTGTTGGGTACAGTGGGATCATGTCCGTTGGGTACAGTGAGATCATGTCCATTGAGTACAGTGCGGTCATGTCCCACGAGTACAGTGCAGTCATGTCCCTTGAGTACAGTGCGGTCATGTCCCTTGAGTACAGAGCAGTCATGTCTGTTCGGGACGGTAGGAACATGTATGTTGAGTACAAAAGAGAATGTATGTTGAGTAAAGTAGGGACATGTATGTTAAGTACAAAAGAGAATTATGCTGAGTACAGTAGGGACATGTATGTTGAGTACAAAAGAGAATGTAAGCTGAGTACAGTTGGTACATATATGTTGAGTACAAAAGAGAATGAATGTTGAGTAAAGTAGGGACATGTATGTTGAGGACTAAAGAGAATGTTTGCTGAGTACAGTAGGGACACATCAGTTGTGTACAGTCGCAAGATAGCAGAGTACAGCAAGGACACACATCACAGGACAGTCCATAGATGCACAACTTACGTCATCAAAACGTGTCTGACAAAAGAATAATCGTCGTCAGCATAACCAATAAACACGCCAATCTTGTAATCTTCGGGTCCCAGTGGTCTAACCAAACGGGCAATATTCATGAGAATGGCTTGTATTGCTGTCCCGAATCTGGCCACCAGGTACACGCACAGGAAGGCAATGATCATGAGAGCCGCCAGAATAAGAGACGCCATCAGAAACAACCTGTGCAGACATGATTAAAATGTTTATAAGATGCTGGCAAGTAATTCCAGTTCAATTTCAATTCCTTTTGAAACAAAAATTAACCACGGTTTACCTGCTGCTAGCTCGCCGAGGCTGCCAACAGTCTGCGGTTATATTTGTGGTCTTGTTTATTTGCGCCACTTTCGTGGCTAAAGCTCTGGTATTTGCGCCGTCTCTGAGCTAAACGCTTCTTTCCTCCAAGTCAAACCGCTCACTCCCTATCCTGTGGTCAACTGTGTTTTTATTTCCCTTTTATTTCTGATGTTTTCTCCTTGGTTTCAGCTCCTTCGGATTTGGCCAGGCGTATTTCGTAGGAGAGCGAGCTTCTCAACATAACATCCTTCGAACCATCAATTATAGTTTTAAAATTACCCGTGTGGGAGAAAACAAGAATAGACCCACTGCCTACCAGAAAGCATGTCGTAAGAGTCGACTAGTTGGTAGCTTCCTTTGAAGTCGGAGTGCATCTGCCTGAGAGGCAAGGAACCAACAGTCTGCTTTCAAGTGAATCAGATGTGTGAAACTGATGCACACGCAACACTCAGGTTCTTGAGCAGGTCTGCAGTTCAGGTGTGGACGAACAACCAGAACTTTCCGCCAGAGTGTACAGCTGGTGAACGCGAAGAAGAAGAACAACAAGTTTTAACATTTTGAGTATTTTTTGGTGCGACACTGTGAGCTGTAGATTTCATACAGAGTGCGTTTTAATCTTTGTCCGCCAAAAATGTTGCCGTCGACAGCATATGCCGTTTGCAGTATTACTTGTGCCTACAAAATCAGCTCTATTGTGGACAATTTGTGCTGACAGCCTTGTGGTTGCATGTACTGGCTGAAAGTACTGCAGGTCTGACCGGAACCACTGTCTCTTTGACTTTTGCCAAGAGGTAGTGTGTAGTTTTCGCTGCATCAAGAGGCGGAGTAAGTAGGGAACGACCTGTTGCTAGAAAGTTGGGATCGCCACAAAGGGCCGTTTTATTGAGCTCTCTAGAACAGATCCATCGTTGCGAGCTCACATTTTCTTCTTGTCCTTCATCGGCTGTAAACTCCGAAGGAAAGTTTTGATTTTCGCCTCTTAACTGTATCTAGTTATGTTGCAGACCCTGAGTACTGCGTGCAGAACCGTTTTACATATCCGGCTTTTTTGTACCCAGACTGTTGATTCCTTGCATTCCGGGCCGATGCGCTCCGACTTCGAAAAAAGCGCCCAATTAGTTGACTATTGCGACATGCTTGTTCATAAGACAGAGGGTATTTTCTTGTTTTCCCCACAATGAGACCCCGGAAACAACACGGGGAATAACGGGCGTATAATCTCAGACAATTTTTTTTAAGATAAGTGACAGTTGATGTAGTGTTGCATAAGTATTGTGCTCAGAATTTGCTCAATTCAATAAATTTAGTTGCGTATCCTTTATAGGGCGTTGCAGAACCAACCCCAGCATTTTTTGGTTGTTGTGGTTTTCCTAGGCAAGTTTACGTCCAGTAGTTTGCCATTGCCCCTGGACGGTCGGCTTCTCGATACCACTATCGAAACTAACGCACGGCGCAAAGCCCGCAGTTGGGATCGAACCCAGCACCCTGGCATTACAAAGAGCCTTCTGTGACAATACGCGCGGTGACTTCAGAATGTCTTTCCTCAACCTACTTTTATTTGTGTGTATTTTGAAGTATACAGACAAATAGGGATTTGGATACATCCTTACTCTAAGTAAGACGACCACATCACACCTTTAATTCTCCTGGACCGTTGGTCATATCAAACACTAAAACTTTTTCCCAGTTGTTAAGTGTTGAGGTACAGAGATAAGACTGACCAAGCAGACTTACTGACTGGAGATTTGCACACCATTTGTTGGTGTCAGATAGTTATTCCCCCTGCCAGACCTTCAGGAACAGATAACAAGGGCTAATTGCCATTATCTCCCCCTGAGGTTACCTAAACTGGAGTGCCGGTCCGACGGTCACTATTGACACAGTGAGCGGAAAGTGTTGGCAGAAGAATTGACAAAGTCGGATTTTATTGTGATGACAGGTGAAGTAGACTAGAGGTGTGACCTGTCTTATTTGCTCTGGTCAGATGAATTGACCAGGAGACCCTAGCGTGAGAATTCAAAC